AGTACTGTGGTCTCAGGTACAGGTTGAGCTTGTATGGCCCAGATGTCAGGCGTGTTTTGACTTTTAGCTGTGTGGTAACTGGATATTAAATCAAAAAGCAGCTCAGATGTTTCTGCTCTCTGCTTTTGGCTCACACGCCGGTTATAAACAGGATAAATTTGTTATTGATAATAGGCGCAGGATGGAACATATGAACAGACTAAAGGTCTTTAACTGTAGGTTTTCAGCCTGTCAAAGTGTCCCTTTAATACAATGAGTCATTTTGACTTAAATGTCTGCATCTAAAACCACAGTAGCAGCTTCCTGCTGCCTGTTGTTCAGTCGAGTTAACCACAGCTTGAATCTAAACATTCTCACCATAGTGTGTTGCTGCTTGGCTAAGAATAGGGTTTTGAAAACACGCTTGCGTCCTGCTCTGTGGTGAAGTGTATCAGTCACCATGAAGAAACAAAAATAGCAGCTTTGTGGTCATCCACCTTCGTTTATTCCCACAGAAACAACACCCAGCTCTTTGTAGTCATTTCTCAGAAGAGCAGTTAAGGAGGGGTACAAACTGTGAAATGTGGTTGTTGTTTATAGAAGTTAAGCTCTGAATAGATAAAAATAAATGAATAAAAAGTTAATCAGTATAAAATGTTTCCCTGTAGTTGTAATAATATACATTCGATATACCTGCAGAAATTTACACATCTTGCAAAAAGTAACCCAGCTGCAAAATAAGATGTCACGTATGGACAAAAGAAGTCAGAGGTCCAGCTGCTCTTCATCTTTAACTGTGGGCTGATCCTGTTAAATTTGATTGGATCAGTACTTCTCAAACGCTGGACAGGGATAGATTTACCACTGTGTAAACGGCTGTAAACATTTGGTAATGAAGGAGAGGAAGGCTGTTCCAGTCATATATAAAGTAATAAATAAAACGTAGGTTTTTAGCTACTCAGTTGCCCTGCTTCATATTTTTCTTTTCATGATGGAAGAAATTTTTCAGGTGGTCTGGATTCTGCTTTGTAGATGTAGTTGTTTTTTTTTTTAGCAGATTAGTGTTTCAGACTTGTTTTAAGTCTAATGGATCATCCCACCTGTCTAGGTGGAGAGAAGCTCCCGAATCAATTCAATCCATGATTTGATTCAATTTGAATTGGGAAAATTTGGCCTCAGACAGTCAGAAATATTATAATTCTGATCACTAATCAGTACATATCCATATTTTTATATCTATAAAAAGAAAGCTGACACTTGTGAGACTTTATCAAAGGTGTGAGCATCACAGCAGAAGCCTTTGTGCCAAAGTAACTGAGGATAAAACACAGAAAAACATGAAGGAGATTTTCCTGGCCTGGGATTTTAAAGCAGGTAATCTTAAAAAATATTCTGCAGTAGAACAAAAACTGAAGAAAACCGTGAATCGACATATGAACATTAATCTGGACTGGTGAAGTGAAGCAAAGTTACAGAGGTTTTTATTAGATACAGCTATGCATTTTGCATAATATTAAAAAGTTTCTTGTCGGAAGTCATTTAAGTAAAAAAGAAAAGAAAAAAAACACTTTGGCCAACAACGCTGTAAACAACTGTAGACTGCAAGTGAATGGGAAACTGTTCTTGTACTCGGACAGAGAGAGAGCTGTGCATGAAGTGTGATTTTTATTGTTGTGGGAACAAAACTGCAAGAAGGGATTCATGACGATGTTTATGTGAAGCGTAGTTTGGATCTTCTTTTGCTGCTGGTTCAGTGAATATTGTTTGGAGAGAGATAAAACCTGCAGCTTCAGAATCAGCGCAAAAAAAGACGTAAACACAAAGTGCGGACCCGCCGACGCATCAAAATGAGTAAGCTGTCGGCTTTCTAATTAATGTCTTGTTGTATCTCTGTTGTGGTCAGTGCTATCCTCTGCTGTTGCATGCTGGGGCAGGAGGTTGAGGGTCACAGATGAAAATAGACTAAATAAACTGATCCACTGGCTCAGGAGGTTGGAAGCACATCTTGTAACTGGAAGGTTGCTGGTTCGATCCCCCAGCTCTGTATGTCCTGGTCGTTGTGTCTTTGTGCAAGACACTTCACCCTGCAAGATACAGCCTCGCTTCTGCTTCCAGGGCAGCTGTGGCTACGACTGTGGTTTGCCTCCACCAGTGTGTGAATGAATAGTGAAATTGTAAAGCACTTTGGGTGTCTAGAAAAGCGCTATATAAATGCAATCCATTACTAATGTTGTGGGGATGGAGCTCTGTTATAGGGTGGTGTTGGAGAGGCGAATGTTGTCCAAGATAAAGACAATGTTGGATAATACTTCCCACCCACTCCATGACATGCTGGTCAGTCACAGGAGCATGTTCAGTGAGAAACTGAGAGTACCAAAAAGCACCACTGAACGACACAGGAAATCATTCCTGCTTGTGGCTGTACAACTCCTCCTGTATTGTTTGGAATTTCGTCTGTTACTATTTTTATAATTTCTTCTTGGAGCAACTGTAACCCACATAATTTCCTTAGGGATTAATAAAGTCTTCTGATTCATTCTGACTTTAAATCATTTAACTGTAAATTATAAAATTTCTATTGATTCCTTCACCCCGAGTCCTAAAGTGTATGTTTATCTTCTTACTCTTCTTATATTTATTGCTTGTTTACTTGCACTGCTGTAACTGAAGCCTCGTCATCTCGTCTCTCTATATACTGGACTGTATGTAGCGGAGATGACAATAAAGTTTACTTTGACTTCAGCGAGCAGGCGCACCGAGGGCTCTTGCGCTCATTTTTCGAGTATAGAATTTTGAAAAAACATCCGTGCAAATTATAAGTCTTATATGTATTGGTGTTTTCGTGTTTGTTGGTTTGATTTTATTTTGTTTTATTTTTACATTTTTGAAACCCGGCAAAGAAGGAAATGGCTACAAAAACAATTCAGTGTTCCCCATATGTGATTAAAAACCACAGACTGAGCAGCTGAAACACATTTTTATAATTTTTATAATTTTTTAATTAATTTTTTGTACATTTCAAGGACTCTTCGATTTTTGGAGTGGTTTTTTTTATGTATCTGTATTATATTATACATACACATTAAAAGTGAATCTCTGTCCAAAAAATGCACTCAATTTACTTTTTACTCACTATGAGCATCATTCATTATTCTCCCCCAGTAATTAAGGTTAAGATATGTATTTTATTCCAATCCATTCTTCTTTTGCAGCATTTAAATTACCTTCATCAGATTTGATGGTTTTGTTACAGACTTTTCAAAAAAGTGTTTTGCTTTGTGGGATTAAATTGTTAAAATGTACAAAACAGTGATGTCATGTTTTATGACGGGGACCCAGGCACAGAGAGACTTTAAATCTTATGATTTAATAAAGAAATTTGCAGACTTGCACAGAGATGGTAAAATTATGATGACTGATAACGGAGACGAAGACAACAGACGACGAGGACAGGGAGGAACAGGGGTTTAAATGCACCAAGGAGACAGTCAGAGAGAACTCGGGACAACTGGAGACATTTAGGGATACAGGGACTGACAAAGACAGGGAAGAAGTCTCATTGTGACAAGTAAAGTGTATCTTGCCTGGCTGGGCAGCTGTCCTGGTGCTCAGCACCCCCAAAGCTCTGATCCTAGAATCGCCCCTGGTCGGGACAATAACTGTATTGGTAAATCTTGTTACATGCTTTTGTTTGCTACCTGCTAAGTTTAGATACTAACTGATTAAGCTCAAAAACCTTTTAAAAACACCAATTGGGAGCTATGAGAATGTTGTTTTTATTCAATTATTGTTCCTTATAGTGTGGTTTATGTTTGTTCTACTGGTGATGGTCGGTGTGATGCTAGCTGCTCGATGTGGTTAGCCAGCCCCCCAAGCCACATCACAATAGGGGGAGGTATTAAAATATAGATACTTGTTTTGGTTACAATGAAATGATTGAGTGTTAATAGAACCACGATATTTGAGGTTTTAAAAAGCATTTCAAAGCAGTACATTGTGAAGCATTGTAAATTAAGTTACATTTGGTTGTCAAGAGGTAATGAGGATTTTAGGTAAGTCTCCAAAGTTGATTCTGTTCATCTGGACGTAGCGTTTTGTGGGAGAAACGTTTCGTCACTCATCCAAGTGACTTCTTCAGTCTCTGACTGCAGGTTTCCCCAAATCTTATAAACAGTACATTTGCACAATGACTGAAACCAGCCCACTCAAGAACAATGGGCTGGGAGGTCAGTTCCTTAATCTTAATTATGCAAATTCTCATGACTCTCATGATTCTCAACCACTGATCAATGGCCATGATGGTGTGGGATGGTGTTCCCTCTGTGTTGTAGAGTCATAATGACACCCAGTTTGTGCTCAAGTGGATGATGAGAATCAAACCTTAGATACCATATGCGTAGGTTTATAGGACAGCTTTTAGATGTCCCCCATTACTGATGAAAATCTCACAGTCTAAGAAGGCTAACCTGCCACTTTTAATATCCTCCCTGGTGAATTTGATGTGTTCATCCACCAAGTTAATGTGATCCGTGAAATGTAGCCATTCCCCAACTCTCTGTAAATGGTACTCATGGCCATTGATCAGTGGGTTTTGGTCAGTAGTTGTTGATCAATGGTCATGAGATGAACAGAATCTAATAATTTTCATTTCAATTTCTTATTTTGTTTTATTTTATTCTATATCTGAATGGAATATGTGAATATATGAATGGATGAGTTGTACTGAGGCAATTCAGGTCCCAGTTGTTCACTTTCAAAACAACTCATTTTGTGAGTACCAAACTAGATGTCTATGGTCTCTATTCAAATTGATATCCTACTGGTCTTTTGTGCCACAGAAGCAAAAAATAAAAAATGTATGGAGGATTTTTTTGGAATCGAGTAACTCAAATTACTCTGTGAATCGGTGCACTGCACAGTCTGACCTGGGACTGTGTGTCATGCAGAGAGATTGGACATCTTGGAGTTCAAAGCTTGTAATCATGTTTCCTGTTTTTTGAACTGTGTGTGTTTGTGTTCAGACTTTAAACCAGAGCCAGATGTCGTCTACTCTTCACTGAAGTAGTCCACCAGTCCAACCACTGACGTCCAGCTGCTGGTCTCTTACTGGTCCATCCAGAACTTCAAACCAGAGGACATCCATGCATACAAATGATTAGTGTGTCTGTTTGTTTCCAATTATTTGATTAAAAAACTCACAATCTTAACCAGAGCTGTTTCAGTACTTAGAATCAACAATGATTTAAAAACAATAACAGCAAAACACATTTTAACATGTTTTATTTTGGCACTTTGTTCTTGTTCCCATGACAGTTTTACTGCATGAATAAACTTTTGTTCTCACTTGTTATTCTCATGCTTGTCTGTGTCAGTGGCTGTTCACAGCACACAAGGGCTTCAGTGCGACTACGATCAGCAACGTAACCATAGTTTAGAAAATTAGTTAGGATCAGAAATTTTCTCTTAACCTGTCATATTAAATAAAGGTATTAAAGGTGCAGCCCCTGTGGTGCAGTCACAGAAATGGCCACACATCTGAAGACAAAATAGTTGCAATACAAAACATATATTAATTAAATAATTAATAAATTAATAACTTCACTTGAAGGACAAAAAATATTACTACATGAATCTGGCCGTACTGCATCACTGATTCACTCCTAGTGTCTAAACTGCCAGTTATCACTATCCATGTGTGACAACAATAAATACAATAAAAATTACAACTAATAACAATTAATAACATTGTACTCTGGAATAAACAGTGAAAGCATCACTGATGATCTGCTTGGAACTGTGTGGTAATTAAACTCAAACAGCTCCATCTAGTGGACATACATAAAACTTACCATTCCAGTCAGTAATCAGACTGTTTCTAAATGTAGTTATGTAGTTTGACCTCATGGTGGCAGTGGCTAAACCTACAGACTAACATGTTTAAAAGGTTTAGGACCATTAATATCAATGTTTAAGTACTATAAGAACATTCTTTCTCTTCTGATGAAGATCTATTCAAAGAGTTTAATAACCATGGCCATCCACACCACACAGAATTAATCTGATAAACTTGAATGTATTTATTTATTTATTTATTTAACTATTTTTAGTAAACATATTGCAAAAAACCCCAAAAAAACCCTGGCTTTCTGATGAACGACAGCAGGTTTCAAAAGTCATGCAGAGATCAGTCCAGCGTTGTTGATTTCAGATGAGCCAAAACACAAACCCCGCTCAATGATTACATTGGAATCTTTTGTAATCTAACCAGTTACTTACTCTGGTTTGTAATTTGAGGTCACAAATGATTAAATCAACTGTGAGGAGGTTGAAGTGATTGAGGATAGAGATGAGTACTAAGAGGGAGGAGAGCTTGTTGAGAAGATGTAAGGAATACTTTGCGGAGCTCATAAATGAGAGATGGATGGATAGATAAATGCCACTGAAGTAGTCCCCCACGCCAGCCACTGGCAGCTACTGGTCTCCAACTCGTTCTGCCAGCACCTCAGATACGACGATGTCCACATCTTAACATGATTTTTTACACGTGTTTTTTTTTTTTGGTCTTGTTTTTCCCCCTCAGTCATGTCACATTTGTTGGTGTAGATTTTGTTTTTATGATACAGATAGATATTTTATTTTTAATATTGAAATGATTTTAATTACCATATATATATTTTTTTTACCACATATTACATCAACTAGCATTTACACCTATCTTATTTTTTCCACCATATTATTTAATCCCATACTTGAACGATGTTTTAACAGTTCATATCCATATTTTCGGGATCTGATATCTGTTAGGATTATGGTGACTGTCACAGGACTGAACGGACTCAAGTGCCGACCCTGAGTTCTTAGAATAAAAAGTTGAATTTTTTTTACATTCAGCAGGTGTAATATGTACAAAGTGCTGGGCTTGGGGTTTTCAGGGATCCATGGGAAGGGTGGGGGGTCGGTACTCACAGTCATAAACGCACACGCCAGGGTCCTATGAAGTGTACACTCCATGCTCTCCTTTGGACACTCACACTCCCTCTCTGCCTAACATGCTCTTGCTCGACTCATCACCACACCACACTGCCAAAATCAGGAATCCAGGGAAGGTAAACAGGAAAGAGTCCAGGATATCTATAAACAGTGAAGCGACTGTCAGAAAACAACCAAGGGTTTGTAAGAGACTAGGATTAACTCAGGTTGACGAGCTGCAGGTGGTTAATCAGTCCAGGTGTGTGGACAGGAACCCGTGATGACTTCTGCCCAAGCGGGCAGACAAGAGAGACAGAGAGAGAAGAAAAACAATAACATGATGCTGAGCCAGCTGGGGAGACACATTGACCATGACAGTGACAGCCTGAGTGGGTCATAAACACTGTTTAGAAACTCCATATTAATTTGGCTTAGCCAAAGATTTCCTAGTCATTGTTATGGTTATCATCTTTGATAGATCAGATCAGATCACATGACATCTGTCAGACTGAATATCATGTTTTCACCTGAAACAATAGGATACCTAACACATGTCGATGGGCAATCGTGGCTCAAGAGTTGGGAGTTCGCCTTGTCATCGGAAGGTTGCCGGCTCCGAAAGTCTCAGTCGTTGTGTCCTTGGGCGAGACACTTCACCTACCGCCTACTGGTGACGGCCAGAAGGGCCGATGGCGCGATATGGCAGCCTCGCTTCTGTCAGTCTGCCCCAGGGCAGCTGTGACTACAACTGTAGCCTCCACCAGTGTGTGAATGGGTGGATGACTGGGTGTGTAAAGCGCTTTGGGATCCCTAGGGGGGACTAGCAAAAGCGCTATACAAATACAGGCCATTTACCATTTATGTCATGTGAAAGCTGCATATTGCACTGACCTCTAACAAGAGAAGGACACTCACAGCTCAGCTTTTTCACCTGATCCAAATGCTCCCTATGATTTCTAGAGATTCCAAGAAACACAGATGTGTCCTCCTGCAGAGTAAAGACATAAAACAGGAGTGAGGCTACAGCTCTCTAACAACATCGAAAACTCTAGTACTGTAGCTCACCTGGAGGAACAATACAACATGGAAACAGCTAAACTTGTGACTGGTGGCTGGTCTGAATTTACTCTCCTGTCCTATCCTGCAAAATTTGTACAGTCTGAGTGGTCTGCAGGTATCATGTCATGACTCCAGGACTGATTTGAACAGTCACAAAAAATTAAAAAATTTAAAATAGAGAAAAATCAGGGATAAGCAGAGAGCAATGGCCTTTGACGATTAAATTCTTGGGGATTGTTCAAAGACCAAATGATCCTTGCAAGTTGTCTTGTTGTTGCAACACTTTTTTTCTTACCAAAGCAGGCCAAACTGATTTACACGGTTGCTGCAGCCCTTCATGTCAGCTAGAAACAGGAAACAGAGCAGAGTATTGTCACAGTCGGCGGGGCCAGACCATGCAGTGTGTGTGTAAAGGACCCAAGTGTGGACACAGATGAGGAGACAAAATAATTACAACAAAAAGCAAGCTTTTATTTGGCTGAGACTCAGGAACAGAAAACCAAGCGAGAACAAAACTAAACCTATACTGGAGAAACTAGAACTGACTATGACTTACTATGATTTGGTACAGGAGCATAAAAGAAACTATGAAATATCTATGAAATCCAGAAACATGAACATGTCCCATACCACATCATGAAAGCCCTGCGGTGACAATAAGGATGAGCAAACAGATGGCGTGACAAGGAACAAATGGAAACACACAGAATAAATACACAAGGGGTGATCATCAGTGGAAACACATGAGGAACCAGCTGACACAAATGTACATAATGGCACAACAGGGGAAGTGAGGCTAAACCAAGAAACACGGGACCTTTCAAAGTGAAACAGAAACATGGAGACTAGACATGACAACACATGCTCAGCATAACTAAAACACGTGACAGACTAGAGAAGAACCCACACACAGAAACCAAGAAGACAATGATAAATAGTTGAATAAGAATAACACATGACCCAACAGTCATATGACCTCCTATGAGCAAGCACTTTGGTGACAGTAGGAAAGAAAAACTGTGACTAGGCGAGAGAAGGAGGACAGGATAAAGACATGCTGTGGAAGAGAGCCAGAGATTAATATCAAGTATGATTCAATACAGAGAGGTCTATTAATACATAATGAGTGAGAAAGGTGACTGGAAAGAAAAAACTCAATGCATCATGGGAATCCCCCGGCAGCCTACGTCTATTGCAGCATAACTAAGGG